AGTTTGAGACTTAGATAATCACCAAAAAACAATAAAAACTTTAGGTATAGCCGGTGTTTCCACTTTCTAAGCCCTTAGCTTTTAAAGAGTGCAGCGCTGTATTAAATGTGAGGTAAGTGTGTTTTCCAAAATATTCAGAAACTCTTACCCTTTCTCCTTTTCCTTAGTGTAATATATATATAGAAAAGACAGAGAAAAAAATATACAAATAATTGTGCAGTATATTAAGTGATATAGCAAGAAGTGAGTTACAAATATATATATATAAACTCACATTTATTAGAGCCTTTTCAAGTTTTTAGGCTCTAAACTTCCAAGCATCTGTGTCTTTTTGGGTAGATCACACAACCCCTTTCTCCAGGAAAAGTGTGTATGTTTTTCTCCACAGAGTATGTAAAAGACACATATTTCAAACTAAGTGTAGCATCTAAATTGTATCCATATAAATAAAAATTAAAACGCTCACCTTGTTTAGAGCCTTTTGATAATTGGCTTTAAGTATGTAAACCTAGTGTCAATTTGTGGGGTGACACTTCAGTTTCTGAATATTTTGGAAAACACACTTACCTCACATTTAATACAGCGCTGCACTCTTTAAAAGCTAAGGGCTTAGAAGGTGGAAACACCCGCTAAACCTAAAGTTTTTATTGTTTTTTGGTGATTATCTATGTGTGGTGGGTTTAACCCCTTAAGGACACATGACGTGTGACATGTCACGATTCCCTTTTATTCCAGAAGTTTGGTCCTTAAGGGGTTAAGGAGTACCCACAGAGTGTATACAGCAGCTAATATCCACTTTTTAACTTACACGTTTAAACTATATAGCGCCACCTATTCCGCATCTTTTTGTGTATATATTCTAGTTTGAGACTTAGTTAATTTCCATTGTTTTACATTTAAAGCCAAATGAATACACCATTTGTTCAAATTTTTCTCCATTCAATGAGTTGTTGAACCTCTCGCATTTTGGTAGATTTAATTTACATCCTGATGTTTCAGAGAGTGCATTAATTGTTTAGTATAAACAGGGAAGTATAAGGATTTGTAATTGTCATAATTATATTGTCTGCAAAAAGGCTGATTTTGTAGTAAGTATGTCCACATTTCTAACTGTATTTATCAGGATTAATTTTAATGAATGTCTTGATTGTGTTCATGTTCAAATTTTATATAAATGCTGTGTTGAGACAATTAGGGTTGTTTGCTAAACCTCAAATTTTGTCTGGATTAACAAAATCCTGTGAAAATTACTGAATTTGTTCAGAGCAAATCTACAACAATCACCTGGGTGCATTCCTTGTCCTGATTAAAAAATGTGTTTTACATCCAAATTGGATTTGAAAGATTCACAAAGTAATGATTTTAATAAAATTTGGGCCCATAAGCATCTTGGAGGATGCAGATTTGCAATTTATTATCCACATTGAATGATAACTTGAAATACAATTTGCCTGCTGGCAACGCTATCAGCCAGTGGGCAAATATTTAAAAATAAAACTAAGGAATGCAAGGTTTAACTATATGGCGAGTGGCCAGCACTTGCCAGCCACCACATTAAAGAAGTCTTATTTACCACCCTTACTCCCAACAGCAAACTTGCTCCAAGTAGCGCCACTTCCACACCATCGAGGCGACAGCTGAGGGAGAGACCGAGGCAAGTAACTAGCAATTGGAAAACTGGTTCCCAGCTACACCACCACTTACCTGGACCACGATCCGCATGGGGTATTTACCCGTCTCATGGCTTACACCCTGGAGTTCAAGTTGCGGGAGTCGGCTGGAGTTGTGAGACAGGTGGCGTGGATTGAAGCAGAGTGGGGAGACTTGCTGGGGACTTTGGAACTCTTACATCTTTGCTATGGCGGAGCCTGTCTAAGTGGGATTTCTACATCGGGGCTAGCTGCAGGGCCTCCATCATGCATGTTATTGCCAATTTAATTGCAATGTTTATTGTCTATATATCTGGATTTCCATGTGTTTAATGACATATTCCTCTCAATCACTGACACATTTTGAAAATCAAAAATTTTGTTTTTTAGTCCTCATCTCCTATTAATTTTATTCCATATAGAAGATATTTGTTTCCATATAAAGGAATTAGAGAAGTTACATTTTTTAGTGTTCCATATTAAATCTATTGGATTATTAATTTGACAAACTTCTCTTTCCATAATATACCAGTCCTCTTTCTCTATTTGAGTTAGTTGGCATATCATTACATTATGCCACTCCAGGATACTTCCATATTTCTCCATTCTTTTAGGTTTTTGTTAGTTTCTTTCAGAAGATCAATGAAGTTAGTTTCTCACCAGTTTTAATTCCAAAATAGACAAAGGATTTCTGATTTAAAAAGTCATATCTGTCCTGATAATTATCTATTTCAATTTTTGGCATATTTATATATACAGGGAGTGCAGAATTATTAGGCAAGTTGTATTTTTGAGGATTAATTTTATTATTGAACAACAACCATGTTCTCAATGAACCCAAAAAACTCATTAATATCAAAGCTGAATATTTTTGGAAGTAGTTTTTAGTTTGTTTTTAGTTTTAGCTATGTTAGGGGGATATCTGTGTGTGCAGGTGACTATTACTGTGCATAATTATTAGGCAACTTAACAAAAAACAAATATATACCCATTTCAATTATTTATTATTACCAGTGAAACCAATATAATATCTCAACATTCACAAATATACATTTCTGACATTCAAAAACAAAACAAAAACAAATCAGTGACCAATATAGCCACCTTTCTTTGCAAGGACACTCAAAAGCCTGCCATCCATGGATTCTGTCAGTGTTTTGATCTGTTCACCATCAACATTGCGTGCAGCAGCAACCACAGCCTCCCAGACACTGTTCAGAGAGGTGTACTGTTTTCCCTCCTTGTAAATCTCACATTTGATGATGGACCACAGGTTCTCAATGGGGTTCAGATCAGGTGAACAAGGAGGCCATGTCATTAGATTTTCTTCTTTTATACCCTTTCTTGCCAGCCACGCTGTGGAGTACTTGGACGCGTGTGATGGAGCATTGTCCTGCATGAAAATCATGTTTTTCTTGAAGGATGCAGACTTCTTCCTGTACCACTGCTTGAAGAAGGTGTCTTCCAGGAACTGGCAGTAGGACTGGGAGTTGAGCTTGACTCCATCCTCAACCCGAAAAGGCCCCACAAGCTCATCTTTGATGATACCAGCCCAAACCAGTACTCCACCTCCACCTTGCTGGCGTCTGAGTCGGACTGGAGCTCTCTGCCCTTTACCAATCCAGCCACGGGCCCATCCATCTGGCCCATCAAGACTCACTCTCATTTCATCAGTCCATAAAACCTTAGAAAAAATCAGTCTTGAGATATTTCTTGGCCCAGTCTTGACGTTTCAGCTTGTGTGTCTTGTTCAGTGGTGGTCGTCTTTCAGCCTTTTTTACCTTGGCCATGTCTCTGAGTATTGCACACCTTGTGCTTTTGGGCACTCCAGTGATGTTGCAGCTCTGAAATATGGCCAAACTGGTGGCAAGTGGCATCGTGGCAGCTGCACGCTTGACTTTTCTCAGTTCATGGGCAGTTATTTTGCGCCTTGGTTTTTCCACACGCTTCTTGCGACCCTGCTGACTATTTTGAATGAAACGCTTGATTGTTCGATGATCACGCTTCAGAAGCTTTGCAATTTTAAGAGTGCTGCATCCCTCTGCAAGATATCTCACTATTTTTGACTTTTCTGAGCCTGTCAAGTCCTTCTTTTGACCCATTTTGCCAAAGGAAAGGAAGTTGCCTAATAATTATGCACACCTGATATAGGGTGTTGATGTCATTAGACCACACCCCTTCTCATTACAGAGATGCACATCACCTAATATGCTTAATTGGTAGTAGGCTTTCGAGCCTATACAGCTTGGAGTAAGACAACATGCATAAAGAGGATGATGTGGTCAAAATACTCATTTGCCTAATAATTCTGCACTCCCTGTAATGCTACTGATTTTGAATTATTTAATTTGTAATTTGAAACTGCACCATAAATCTCCAATTCCTCCATTACTGTTGGTAGGGACATTGATGGGTTAGTTAAAAATAGTATAATATTGTTGGCATAAAGTGATAATTTAAGTAAATTTCTTGCTAATAAATGACCTTTAATGTTTGTATTCTGTCTGGTTCTTCTAGCCACTACTTCTATAGTTAGTATGTACAAAATTAGGGAGAGCGGACATCCCTGTCTAGTTCCGTTTTTAAGTTTAAACCATTTTTAACAGCTATTACAGCCAATCGTTCTAACCATTAGAGAGGAGTATAACGCTAGTATTGCAGTTAAAATCCAACCATTAATGCCAAAATTTTCAAAAGTACTATTCACAAAAGCCCATCTGACCCTGACAAAAGCCTTCTGGGCATCTAATGACAGGATCAGAGTGGGATTCAGCTTTTGTTGTGACCTGTAAATTACATGTATCAATCTTCTTATATTGTTGTTCATCATTCTGTCTGGCACAAAACCTATCTGATCAGGATGAATCAGAAGGTTCAGTACATCTTTTAATCTGTATGATATGATATAAGTAAATAATTTAATATCGACATTAATAAGGGAAATTGGACACAAATTTTTTACGTCAGTTGGATCTTTTCCCGGCTTAAGTATTGGTAAGGTATTTGCTTTAAGCATCTCGCTTAGAAAACATCCCTTAGAGACCGCATTATTTTTTTTTTGAAATTTGACAATTTTTATTGGTCAGTAAATGCATAACATATTGTCTTTAAGCAAAGATACATACACGTCGTTCACATTGTCTATGAATGCCTTAGCTCTGTACATATAGGACCTGCATTGCGTCTGGTTACAGAGGTAGACGCGTACATACATTAGACAGTAACCGATATTCTGTGCCCTATATACATTGTTCTGTAGTCAACCGGCTACTGTATCTAGTGAGGGTGGCTAATAGGTCCTTATTGTGCTTCCTATCCCTATATTGCGTTATTTGCATATACTCAACCTTGTCAGGGTGGGGGGGGAGGGGTAGAGGGTGGGGGTCTCTCAGAGGTGGTATTCTCTTGTGCTGTGGGAGGGGTGGTTCGCGCTGGAGTCTGGTCAGTGTGCGGTTTCCGTGGGGTCTTGTCTTGTGTAGTTGTCGGCGGACTCTCTTTAGGAGCGGCTTGTGGTTTGGAACGGGTCAGGAAATCTGTCCACATAGTATGGGCTTGTTTCAAGTGTTTTTTAGTTCCAAATTGGGTTGCAAATACTGTCTCATAGACCCAATTGAGTGAGACTTGCTGTATGAGGAGTTCCCTGGATGGGATTGCTACCTGTTTCCAAAACCTTGCGATGAGTGTCGCTGCTGATATTAATACGTGGTACATGGCTGTCCATGTGGCTTTGGGAGTCTCATCTGGGGGGATGAATAAAATGCAGAGTTCTAGGGTGAGGGTTACCTGAGTGCGTATGATATTTGATATGACATTTTGTACTTCGTACCAGAAGGGTTGGATGTTGTCACACATCCACCAAACGTGTGTCATGGTACCCCTTTGGTGTCCGCACCTCCAGCATTTGTCTGTGGATTGCGACCAGATGTGGTGGACTCTGGCTGGGACTAGGTACCATCGGTACAGCAGTTTGCGCTGTAGCTCCAGATGAGTGGCACAGGAAGTTGTTCCCTTGTGTGAGGAGTAAGCCTTGTCCCATTTGTCCCTAGTTATGGTCCTTCCCAGTTCCGAATGCCAGGACTGTATATGTGTGTCATTGGGTGGGTCTACCGTCTGTAGTAATAGTCGGTAATTTATGGATATTAATTTCTTTAGCGGTTTTCTGTGCGTGCACAGGAGTTCGAATTCACATAGGTGCTCTCGGGTATTAGCGTTGTTGGCGCGGGGTTTATTCTGAGATAGGCATGATTTGATCTGCAGGTATGGGAAAATCAGTCTGGAGGGAAGGTTGTATTCCCTCTGTATGTCTGGGAATGGGCGGAGTTTAGCTCCTTTATATAGCTGTCCCACTTCAGTTATCCCCCCTTGTTGCCATGGTTTTTTGTCCCATGTTGGTATTAGGGTGGCCAGGATATCCAGAGGGGTAGCTAAAGGCACTGGGAGGAAATGGACCAGGTGGTGTCTGGAAGCGTCCCAGTGGTGCAGTATGTGCTGCGTTGTGGGTAGTAGATGTGTGGTGTCCCGTCTATGGGACTTGGGAGTCCAGAACAGTGTTTGCAACGTCGCCGGTGCCGCCCAGTGGTTTTCTATGTGGAGCCACTGTGGTGATGTTGGTTGTGGTCTCAGTTGCGGTACTATTGTTAGTGCCGCTGCTCTATGGTATGCGGTTATATCAGGGAGACCTAACCCTCCCTGTGTTTGGTACCTTTGTAGGAGTTTTGTCGCTACCCTTGGCTTCTTATTACTCCATGTGAAGGCTATTAGCTGTTGCGATAATGATTTTAGGAAAGCACTTGGAATGGGGATTTGCAGTGTTCTGTATAGATATTGCAGTTTTGGTAATAGGGACATTTTGATGGCAGCTATGCGGCCCACCCAAGATAAGTATTTCCCCTCCCATGACTGTAGTGTGTTTTTTAGGACGTTAGCTAGGGGGATGTAGTTAGTTTTGAACAGTGTGGCTGTTTTTTTTTTCATTTTTACTCCCAGGAAAGTTAGATAGTCATCCCTCCAGTCTAGGGGGAACGATCCTTTAAGGAGCGCCATTTGCTTGTTGGGTATGTTGATCCCCATCGCTTGTGTTTTAGAAACGTTCAGTTTGTAGTAGGATAGGAGGCCATATGTTGTGATGTGTTTCATTAGGTTTGGCAGGGATATTTGGGGTTGCGTTAATGTGAGAAAGACATCATCAGCGAATATACTCAGTTTATATTCCCGTTGGTTCAAGGATAATCCATGTATGGATGCGTCTGCTCGTATTCTAGCGGCTAGGGGTTCTAGTGCCAGGACGTAGAGTAGTGGGGATAGGGGGCATCCCTGTCTAGAACCATTAGTGATTGTGAACTTGTCGGAACAGAATCCCGCGTTTAACACTCTTGCTGTTGGGTGGCTGTATAAGGCCTCCACCATATTAATAAAATGGCTAGGGAAGCTCATTCTCACCAGGACTGTTTTCAGGAATCCCCAATTTAGTCTGTCGAAGGCCTTCTCTGCATCTAAGGACACGAGAAGGCCTCCCATGTTTGACCTCCGTATAGTGTGTATGAGGTTTAATACTTTTCGGGTATTATCTGCCCCTTGCCTCCCTGATACGAACCCTACTTGGTCGTCGTGTATCAGGGAGGGAAGGATGGTGCTTAGTCGCCTTTGCTAATAATTTGGCGTCCGTGTTGAGTAATGATATGGGTCTAAAGTTGGGGCAATGAGTTGGGGGTTTACCTGGTTTCGGGAGTGTTATAATGTGAGCTAACAACAGCTCCTCGGGAAGCTTTTACTCCTGGGTGGCTGAGTTGAATAGCTGTGCTAGGGGTTTTGCAAGGGTTGATTTAAATTTTTTGTAATACAGGTTTGTGAACCCGTCTGGGCCCGGGGCTTTGTTAGTTGGAAGGGATTGTATGGCTTCCTCTACCTCTGTGGTTGTGACTGGGTGTTGTAGTGTGGCCACCTGGTCTGCGGTGAGGGTCTGTAGTGGAGTGTCTTGGAGGTAGGTTGTGATTTCCTGGTTGTCTGGTACGTGCAGTTGGTTAGAGTGTGCTAGGTTGTAGAGTTGACGGTAGTAGTTTGCGAATGCATTACTAATATCTATGGGGGATACAACTTTTGTGTTGTTGGCTGTATATACATATGGTATTTTGGCGTTTGCCTCTACTTTCTTCAATCTAGTTGCTAGTGTCCTACTGGCTTTGTTGCCCTGGGTGTAATGTGTGGCTTTCAGTTTGCGGAGATTGTATCCGACTTGTTGCAGGGTGTGTGTTTTAATTTCTTTCGTTATTTCCCCAATTCTTTGTTGTGTGTCTGCAGTCGGTTGGGTTTTGTTTTTGTGTGTGAGGTCTGACAGCTGTTTGTGCCAGGCTATCCAATTAGCTTGTCGTGTTCTTTGTGTGTGAGAGGCCTGCTTGATGAGGAGCCCTCTGATTACAGATTTGTGTGCCTGCCATGTAGTGCTAATGGAAGTGTCTTCTGGTTTGTTCAGAGTGAAAAAGTCGTCAATGGCTTTCGTTATGTTGTCCGTAAAGGAGTTGTCTGTTAGTAGGGACTCGTTGAGTCTCCAGGGGCTCTTATGTTTATAGTCATAGCTATCTTTAAGGGTTATGGTTTGAGGAGCGTGGTCCGACCACGAGATGGTGCCTATAGAGCATTCCAGTACTTGGTCTAGATGTCGACCCTCAACATGAAACCTGTCTATTCTCGTATATGTGTTGTGGGTGGTAGAGAAATACGTGTAGTCCTTTTCCTGTGGGTGTAGGACTCTCCACACATCGTATAGCCCCCGTTCCTCTAGTAGTTTTAGGTGGTTCATGCAGGCTGTTTGTTGTCGGGAACGTGTTGTATGGGGGATTTGTGTCGTAGTGTCCATGTTAGGATCTAAGATATGGTTGAAGTCCCCACACAGTACTAGTATACCCTCTTGGATTGGGCGGAGGAGAGACAGAATTCTGTGTAGGAAGTTCCTTTGGTTTGTGTTTGGGGCATATGCATTGGCAATCGTGTATTTGTTGTTGTTGATCGTGCAAACTAGCATGAGGTAGCGGCCCTCAGGGACTGTTCGCGAAAAGTGGTATTGGAATGAGACCTTGTTGCTAATTAGTATTGATACGCCCTTAGTTTTTTGTCCTGATGTGGCATGATATTGGTGTGGGAATTGTGACGGCTTGATATTTGGTGTTGTCTTAAAATGTGTTTCTTGGAGGCACAACACATCTGGTTGTGTCTGTTTAAAGTCCCTGAGTAAGCAGTGTCGTTTATATGGGGTGTTCAGTCCCCTAACATTATGGCTTTGTATTTTCATACAGTTGTTGGGATTGGTGTCTTTCTGTTGTTGTTGTGGGTGCGATCTTTAGTGTGGGTGCTCTTCGGGTCGTCTTCGTGGATGCCTTTGTGTGCCTCTCCCACTGGTCTAGGTAGGTTTTGTCTCTTTGGGTCTGGGTGTTAGCGGAAGGTAGGTCCTCCCTTGGGCTAGTTGTAAGATACTCCAGAAGTATTGGTCCCCTTAGGGGGGTCTCCCTACGGTGTTCGCAAGTTAAAGTACCCTCCTCCAGAGAGGTTAGAGAGGGGGAAGGGGGGGGATGAAGGGGAACCGTGCCGTGAGTGGACGGTTAACAAAAAGAACTGTAATGCAGCCCAGTTTAGGGCTACGTGGCTGTACAGTAGTACCATGTGGGAGCGTGGTACTTAAGAGTTTGAAATAACATAGGTATCCCGGCCTAATTGTCGCTATGACCACATACTCGCTGTGAATGGTGCGTGACCCCGATTTAGCCCGGTGTCTCTAGACATCTATTGGGGTTTTGTGGGTTGTTTGCGACATAGTATAGCCTTTAACCTTCCATGACCTTAACAGTATACAACAGAAAATAACCATAACAGTAACAGTTGGCACTGCCGGATCGGTTCTTCAGCCGGGGCACGTGTGTAAGTCAGCGGTATATGGAGCGTTTGGGTTCCGCCACCATGGGTGTATAGTGATGTATGCCAGCGTGCGTGAGTGTGTGAGCAGTGTGTGGTTGTGTGTGAGACATTACCCCATGAGTCTTACAGCGGTTGGGCTTCTTGTCACCTGTTGAAGCTCTGCACGTGGCGTTGCACCGTTCAGAGTCCATGGTTGGTGCTGTAGCCTCAACTTGTTGTGTCAGCTGGAAGTCCGTATGAGGAAGAGTCCGATCAGGCAGTATCTCGTCGGGGGAGGCGGGTGTAGCGAGCCAAGACTAGAGCTTCTCCCGGTTCGGGTGGATCTCCCTCTCGCTCAGGTGCGTGCTTTCTTCCATTCAGGCTGTATTTTGGTGGGTTGTGTCTGGCTGTTCCCGTGTGGTTGCGCTTGGATTGTTTCAGGGTTTTCCGTCCCTCGTCTGGGGTGGTGATGGTGTGGATTGTCCCATTTCTGTGCACCAGTAAGCGAACCGGGTGGCCCCAGCGATATTGTACCTCTTGTTGTTGCAGAGCATCCGTGACCTCTTTGAATTCCCTCCTCTTCTGCAGGGTGAGAGCGGAGAGGTCTGCATATATTTGTATTGCTTGATATTGCTCGGGGAGGTGTTTGCTCTGTCTGGAAGCTTTCATCAGAGCCTCTCTAGCATGGAAATAGTGCATGTGGGTGAGGATGTCTCCTCCGGTAAAAATTTCGGTTTAGCGACTCTGTGTGCCCTGTCCGTGAGCAGGACATCCGCGGGTAAGTCAGGAGCCAGGATCTTGAAATACTCAGTAAAATACGCTATTATTTCTGGTTGTTTCACCGATTCAGGTATGCCGCGTAGGCGTATGTTCTGCCTTCTGGACCTGTCTTCGAGATCCATAAGTTTTGTTTGGCAAGATTCCAGCGCGTGTTCTAATCTTTGGACGTGGTCCGCCATGTCATTATGGGCCTCCGCATATTCTCCCATGCAGTGTTCCATGCGGGCTGTCCGTTCACCGAGCTCCTGGACATCTTTCCGTAGGTCAGCTATTGATCTGTTGAAATTTTTAAGCAGTTTGGATGTCATCTCCTCCAGGCATGTTTGTAGAATTGCTTGTGTTACTGGTTGGTCTCTGGAGCCTGGGGAGTCCTGCAGCGGAATTGTGTCGTCGCCATCTTGCTCCTCGTCTAAAGGGGTCTGGGTTTTGGGTGTCTGGTTGCGGGCCGCAAAGAACCCGGATTTGTCCCCTTTCTCGCAGGGTTTCTTCCCCTTGTGTTGGGCCATCGTGGGGTTAAGTTTGTGGGGGTTTGCTGGTCAGGATCGCTGTTTTAGTCGCTGATTTAGGCCGGTTAAGGACGGAGCTTTACTCACATGCGACCGTCCGCGCCATTAGTCAGGCCACGCCCCAGAGACCGTATTATTAAAGGAATCTCTTTATAGAATTTATTACCAAAGCCGTCTGGTCCTGGTGTTTTATAATTTTCCAAATTATCAGTAGCTTTAATAATCACTTCTTTAGATATTTCTCTATTCAGTATATTTAGATG